GTGGGTGCTTCCATATTCTGGAAAGGCATGAGGCAGAACTGGGTAATCTTAACTCTGTGTTAATGAAGTCTTTTGGGTAATGAATACATTGTAAATGCTGGTGCTAGGATTTTGGCGTGGTACGAAAGCTCTGGTTTACACTCCTATCTGCCTCTTCATTTGAGGTTATGGCCGTTGACCAATTTTGTTTTTCTGTTACCAATCCACTTTCCCGCTAGGCCTCTAGTCCTACTCCTATTGTAGTAAAGGGGTGGATTGCACCGCAGGGCGTCTTGAATCCTTCACTCCAGGCCATAGCAGATTATGCTGGAAGTGGAATGTAGCTGGCAGTTAGACTCCCTCAAACACAGTCATATCATCTCTTTGATATCTCCACTCCACAGAGGTGCCCCAAGGAGTGTACTGTTTACAACAGGTTGTTCCTAAGCCAGGTCCCCACTCATGGAAGCACAGAGTGCTCTACTCCTCTTGCTCTGAGACAAATATAGTTTATTTCAGGCTGTATTTTGCCACCGTTACATGTGAGCAGAAATGTGGGAGAATGTAAAGCTACTTCCTGATAGCATAGCATGCCTCCCGCTTAACAGCCATGAAGTATGATATGTAGTGGTTTTCAGATGGGATCCAATCCAGCTGGCAGAACCTGATTTACAAAGCACGTTGAAAGGCACACGTGTTTTTTTTAATGCAGATCAGTATCATTTAAAATTATTAAAACTCAGGCAAACAACTATTTTTTGGTTGGAAAACTGAATGCTATGGGAGCTTATAGACCCAGAAAATTACAATTAGGGTCAAATGTATTATTATTTAATCTCTAGCTCAGTCTTGTCACAATCACACAGCAAAAAAGAGTAACAGAGACCTCATCTGAACATACAGAAAGAAGAAACAGAATCAAAAGCTGGCATGCCAGAACTATAAATCAGCTAATATATTTTAGGAATGACAGAATGATTAAAATTACCCCCTCAAAAAGAGTCTCCTCCAGAGAAATTATGACTCATAGTTTGTTCCCTTTTGTGTTGCTATGGAAAAGGAGGTTAGCGCCAAAGGTCATTTGAAAGAAAGATAAATAGCAAACTCTACCAGATTCATTTTGTGTTAGAACAATGTAATTCAGTATGTGGGATGCCCACACAAGAGACACTGAAGGTTAAACTGATGGTTAAATCAAAACATACACAATTAGAAAAGTTAGAGTGAATTTAGTGTGTACCTCAAACAGCAGCATGAGTGGGAGGGGAAAAGGAAGGGGACATGGTTGGAAAAAAAGGGCAGAGAAATCGGAAAAAGAGGCATAAATGTCTTAAGGATTCTACACACATACAGTTAGATTCCACCTGGGGTTGATGCTGGCACAGGACTCCAGCAATAGAAACTCCAAAGCAGCAGAAAGAAGCTACAGCCTCTCTTCCACTAGCCTGGGAATGAGAGGGGCAGGGATCAGAAGCAGAGTGTAGCCCCTGTAGATTCAGCATTTGCAGTCTCCTAAGGAGCTCCAGCTATGAACATAAGCCAAGCACTAACAAAGGTAAGTGGCCTTCTTTGAGATTAATCTTCCCACTAGCAAGCAGGGGATTGAGGTGGCACAGAGAAGTGCAAACTTTACACCCCTGAATCTAGCTCATCTTATCTTACTCACCTTTAGGGGAAAACATAATTAGAAGGGATGGGTTTGCAAACCACAGTTGCCCTCCAGCACTTTCAACGATGAGGTATGGTAGGAAAATTGGCTGTGAAAATGACAGTTTGCCATTTCATGTTCATATTCCATCAGTGGCTTCTGCAGCACGTTTGCTCAGGTTACAGGTTCAAAACAAGGTTGTTTTTTTCCCCAACTGCAACCTCAATGTATCTGAAAATCGAGCTGTGTTCTCTCCTTTGTATGTAATTAGCAACAGTAAAGACCCTGGACTCAGAACTTAGCTAGAAATTTTGCTAATGATGCAGCAGTCAAAGCAGAATAGAGCTTGCTTTTCTGCAGCTGTGTTGGCTCTGCGCTGCTGACAGCAGTAAAACTATTTATTCTGTCGATGAACTAAGCGAATAGGATTAGGGAGATACAGAGCCATATCATGTCCTCCTATGAATGGGAAGTGTATGTATGGCTCTGGGGCATAATGTGATTCTCAGAGCCCAATCTAAACCCACTGAAGTCAATGGGAGTCTTTCCACTGACAGTGGCTGTTGGACTGGTCCCTTTGTCAGCAGGTATGTTCACTAACAAGGGGGCATTTTTGCACTAGCTTTTCTGAGCATACCCACGCTATAACTTGTATGGCCATCAATTAATTTTATCACCATAGAGGTGACCAGGCCAGATGGAAAACTGTATTTTAATTTCTTCAATTTAAAGAGTAAAAATACCATAACTTCTGGCATGTATATGTTCTTTCTTTTTGATCAACAAAGCTTTTGTAGTGCAAGCCCTCAATCCAGATCTCCTTTTTTGATAATAAAAGGATAGAGAAGGCCCATATTCCCATGTCTTTTCACAGAGGTGTCTTCTTATAGTGTCCAGTGCCAGAGATAGCATATGAAGGTCAAAGGGATGCTCCTTGCCTTTTCACCCAGAAGTGGATAGGAAAGTGAGCAGTTTTTATGGCACTGGAAATAGAAGCACCAGCAGCTATAGGCTGCCACTAACATAAGTATTTCTGCCATATGGTCCTTACTGTACTTAATCTTTGCACAAAACTCACGTTAAGAGACCTACATATTTTGCATGATATCAAGGGTGTCCAGAGAAGTAGCTGCACCTTTGCTTAAATATATAAATACCTGTCATCACAAAAAAGAACAATCGTGCCCCTGGGTGAAATCTGTAAGCTGTCAGGTTGGCCATCACATATTTTAATGTTTGGGTTTTTTTTTTTTTTTGGAAAAAATATCATGCTGCCACTGCAGACATTTGGCCATGAAAGTATATTATAGGGACTAATATTCATTTTCAGGAGTCATGGAACTCAAAGACAGAAAGGGACTTTAAGATAGCTTGGAACAAAGGAATTTCTCTCTGTTATGGGATACAGTACAGCAGATAGCAGACAACAGAATAAACTTATGAATTTTATACAAAGATAATTTTATGTTGCTAGGATTACAGACCTGTTAGTCCTTGTAAATGTATAAATATATAATCTTAGAAATAAGTTAAATTCTGGCCCTAAAACTAATCCCTGTGCATACAATGTTTCTTAAAGTAATTATTTGTACTAATTCTCTATTGGGCTGATTTTGAACACCTGCAGTTCCTATTGTAGGGGGTTTTAAAGCTCTTAGAACACCAAGCATGTAATTAAGTCCAGTGTCTGTAAAACATGACAAAACATGTCTGACTGCTAATTTTTTCAGTAGTACTATCTGAATTAAAGCTTATAGGGAGGAACAAAACAGACATTGTTGGGTTCCCTGGCTAGCATTTCATGGCTGCAAGAAGTTGACAATTGTTCCATAAAAGGTTAAACATGTATGCTTTGACCTGTCTGTAAAATTAAGTCTAGTAAGGCTATGTGGCACTCTAGAAGACACAAATTTATCTGTGTGACTAAACAAAATGTACAGTTCAATACAATTATGCCTGTAGGAGTATTTAAAGTATTAAAAGTCTAGTACAATGCAATAAAAATGCAGATGGAACTATCAAATTCACCAAGCTGTCTGAAAATATTCAGATGCTTTAGCAATCTGGTAAGGTGATATCTGAAGAGTTAAATTTGAGAAATGGTTCTTGGATTTCTAAATAAGAACAAGGGAACAAGAAATAAATGTAATTGGGACATAAACTCAAGTAGTAAATGTTTAGTCTTTAATTTTGTTTTTACCAACCTCTAAAATTTCTTTGCCCAAACACTGACATAGTTGTATTAGTTTGATTATTTCTTTTTTATTTACTTCATCACATCTGTAGTTAGTTACAAGTATTGAATAACTGAGTTACATTTTAGTTAATACAAAATGTAGCTGCATGGATTTATGTCATCATTCTTCTTACAGATGATAGTTCTTGTATGATACTATATAATAAAGAGCTTAACTTTTAACAGTGTCTGTTTAAAATCCGCTATGCTTCCAGGCTAATTTCCAGCGTGATTTACTGGTTCAAGAGAGTGCTCACGTCCATCATGTGATCTCTGGTAAGCATACTGTAATGTGTATTTTTTTCTTAGAAAACTTTAAATGATTTGTAATTTTAAATACAAGGAAGGAAGCAACATGTTAGTGCAATGTTATGTAACAAGAATTCAGTATTCAAAAGGAAACAGAAAAACAAAAATGCATAAAAATAACATGGATGTAAGGCAACTAAGGGTTTTATCCTTTTCTTTTTTTCCATTTATAAGTAGCTGGAATGAAAATTCAAAGAGTGAAATTTCTTTACCCCCTCATTTTAATGCCTTTTCTCAATTTGAAACCTGTAATTTGAGAATATGTAGTAATTTTTGTATGTGAAAGTTGTAACATTAGTGGAGAGTCCAACCCCATGGCTTGTATAAATTGGCCTCTTTGGCAAACAGTTAAAACCACAACACACTGTTATCCTTCAACATCCTGACCAGAAACACAAAACTTTACCTTTTTACAAAAATTGTCCTTACATCCCTGTAACTATTCTGTAGGTATAGCATTACATATATGAAAGTCTTTATATAGATAAGTTATGCTATTTTCAAAATATTCTTAGGTACAGGTGCAAAGATGGAAAATATACTGCTCTAAGGAATAAGTAGAAATTTAATTGTGTTATTTGAGTGTATATTCTTTATGCTGGCAGTAGAGATTTTTTCCTTTTCTTTTTCACATTCTCCCCTTCTGCTCTTTCATCATATTGCCTTTAAGTTTCTATCATATCATCCCTTGCTTCTATGTCTGTCACTGTTTTTGCCAACATGCCAAGCATTACCTAATATCTCACGGTAAGTACTGTAGCTAGTTAGGTTTCAGAGGAACAGCCGTGTTAGTCTGTATTCGCAAAAAGAGAAGGAGTACTTGTGGTACTTGTGGCACCTTCATCCTTGAAGTCATCTATTTCTATAAACTGCTGTGAATTACAAAACCATGACTCCCTTTGCCATATAAACACAGTTGTTTCTATTAAATGACTAACAAAAGACTCTGGGTGAAATCCTGGCCCCACTGACTCAATGGCAAAACTCCCACTGATTTCAGGAGGCAGGATTTCACCCTTTGCATAGTCTGCTCTTCTAGTCAGAATGTAAAATGGAGCCATACCCAAAATAAAATATACATGTGTATATACACAACAGTTACTGAGTCTATTACCTTGCCTTGCCATGTCCCGGATATGCTAAGCTAAGCTAGTGTGTTCAGTGACATTGTTTATATAAAAACTACTACACAGCTACAAAATACTGCAATAAGAGGGAAAAAAATATTTCTTGACTACTATCCAAGCACTTCCCTGATCTAAGTTAAAAATCCAGCTGACCAGCCTGCCTCCCCTGGTCAGGTTCTTTTCCTGATATCTCCAATTGCAACTGACTGCAGCAACTCTAAATTAATATTACCAGCTGTTTGACCTAGTATAGGAGTGGAGCACCTTGTAGGTTGCCTGCATAGTAGACCTTGTTCACTCTGCATCTCAATACTATGCAATACATTAGCACTGCATAGAAAACAAACTTAATCGTTGTCACCCGATACGTTGTATGTGTAACAGAAATATACATTGCTTCTTCGCTTAACTAAACCTTTTTGCATTTCTGAACACAAAGGACGGCTCAGATTTATTATGCAGTTTGGTCTATTTGGAGAACAGCTGCTTGAGTTGATTCTTCATCAGATTGTTCTGTTTCCCCACTGGTTGGTTTGTTTCTTTCATCATACAGTCTCTGGCTAGAAACTTCTAGTGCTGTCCCATATTCTTCATCATCTTCAACAATTGAGAGCTCAATGTTGCTGTTTATCATCGCATCCCCTTCTCTGCTTTCTTTCTCTAGAGAATCAGCTATTGCTTTGCCTTCCTCAATTAGAGAAGTTGGAGGTGAGATATCTGAGAGCCCCTCAGTAAACGAGGTGGTCTCGTCATTTACTGCCTGCTCACTGCTTGTAGTTTCTGTTGGTTTGTCTTCATTTTCAGCAGGGGTCTCTCCTTCATGGACTTTCTTCATGTTCAATGTGAGGGGAGACACTTTGAAAGAGGAGCTTTTTGAGGATGAGGATTTCTGATGATGTGGAGTGAGCGATTTCTTAATCTTCTCCCGTCGTTCAACTGAGACAATTTTTGTGCTGATCTTGTTCATCTTTTTCTCGATATTTTGGCGAGAAAATGCTTTCTTGAGGCTGTCCACTTTCTTGAGGCTTGATCTTTTTATCTTCTCAGCTCTTGATTCTTCCATTTTTTCCTCTACGCTGTCATCCAGACCATCTTCGTCATGAGGCATTTCATCATCGGACGACAGCTCCACTGTATGCAAGGTTTCTTCCAGAGTTTTGTTCTCATCCACAGACTCTTCCTTTCCTTCTGTAATACTGGGAACTGGTTCTTTCACAAACACGTTGGCAGGAATCTCATTTTCCTCCTGAAAGAGAGGACAATATTTGAGTTTCATAGTTCACAGGACACAAATTTGATAAAGCATAACCTTGCACAATGTTACATTGTTTTTTTACAATGAGATGAAGGAAGCTGAGCATTTATTATTGTTTTGGTATATTTAGCCAGCAAGAAGCCACTCAAAACCCTCTCAGCCATTCCGTTGTACAGCTTGAGGCAAATGAGGGGCCAACTGTGATATTCCAGTTTCAGAGGGCTCAGAATATATAGATATAGAATATGAATCTATCCTATTCTGTCATTTAAATTAGATATTACTAATAAGGGTTTAACTACAAAGCTGTAAATCTAATGCTAGAGAAAAAGGGTAGGGTTGTGGTTAAGGCATGAGACTGAGCACTGGGAAGTTTGGGTTCAATTCTTGGTTCTGTCACACTCACCACATGACCTCAGGCAAGTCATATAACCTCTCTGTGCTTCAGTTTCCCTGTCTATAAAATAGGGATATACTGCTGACCTATGACACAGGTATAGCGAGTCTTATTTCCTTAAAATATGTGTTTTGAGATCCTCAGCTGGAAAAGTGCAATATGCATGGAAAGTAGGATTAATTGTGTTTGAGAGGTTGCTAAAAGTTGGTAAAGTATGTTTGTAAAGAACGGACCACATCCTTAGTTGGTGTAAATGGTTAAGCCTCATTGATTTCAGTTAGTTTTACTGCCACTGACAATATGTCCAATATTTTTAGTTCTGTTGAACTTTGATTGCAGTAGCTTGAACACTGCTGGAACAGTTTGATGGAGCTGGATTTTGACCACCTTGATTCACACGAGGATGAGACCTTTGGCACGTTGCTCTCACCCTGCCCATGTCCCGGCTTCCTCTGGATGGAACAGTGCTCTGCAGGGTTGAGCTCTGGGAGGAGAGGAGGAAACAGCAGAAGGGGGAGATGCTTGGCTTTTAAAGGAGGCCCTATGGGCAGCCACAAGTGCTCCAGAGCTAGTGAGGGTGCACAGAGTTTCCACGTGGGGTAGCGCAGGCCTCCTGCAGATCCCTCAGGCAGCTGTATGAAGTCTAACCCCAAACCCTTTCTGGGTGGGTCAGAACCCAGCCTCTCCTTTCCCTGGATGGAATATCATGGGAAAAACTCTGAAGAACTTTGCACAGGTTTCCCTTCTCCGTCTCCTGTGGGTTTTATGGTAGGAGAGCTGATCCAGCGCGAGACGATTAGAATATGTTGCGTTTCCAAGATCGAAGGAATGATACTGATTTTCTTTTTTATTTGGGGGGTGGAGATAATGGAGGATGGGACATATAAACTAAACACATCTATGAAACGTCTTAAAAAAAATGAAAGTGAAAAATCATGCAAAAATGAAAGGTGACTAATGTTCCATGCTACAGGGAATAACAGTAGTTCTTTGCATCAAGTAGTTGAGGTGGACAACAGCTGCATATTATTTTTTAGAACCAAAAAAGGCCAGGGAGGGATGTATTCCAGAAGTCTCTAAATAAAGAGCAGACTGAGCAGGGGAAAGAGCTGGAACTGGAAATTAAGGGCCGCCTCCTGCAAATAGTTACTACTGAGTACAGCGCTTGCAGCCATGAGGAGTTCAAAGGGGACATCTCCTAGTAGTAAGCACTACGTTAGGTAGTAAGTTTCTGCAGGGTTGTGTCCTAAGACAGAAAAGCAAGCAAACCTACAATACTTCCTTTATTTCTTTTCCTATCCTTGTAATAGCTGCATGTTCTGCATTCATATTACTTAGTTTATCATTTTTAACTTGGCAAAGCTTAGGAGATACCCCAGTCACCTCGTTCAGAGCTACAGACTGTGGGGAAAGAATTCAAAACATCTCTTTTAGATATAGAAAGGGCTGTGTGCCAGATGTGATGGCCTCAGGTCTGTCCTTAGTGGGCTAGAGACAACATTTAAGGGAAAAAATACCATATGCAATTCAAAACCTCTGTTCATTAGCACAGGGTGTGATCCCTAGAGAAAATGGTCTCTGGGGTTAAGATTTCTGGTGAGGCTGCACAGGAATGACTGGATGAATGCACTGCAAACACCAAACTACATTTTGTATGCGGCTTGGTTTTTTAAAATAAAAAGTCACATTCCTTTGCTGCTAGTCCACTACAGAGCCTTCCTGGAAACAAATTATCCATACGCCTATGAACAGAATTTTAAACAAGTGTGCTTGGTGTGTGAGGAATATTCTTCAAGGTTACAAAAGAAAAAGGATAGAAAACACTTTTGAGATATTTGTACGTTTTAAAATTCTATTGACCTTGAACTAACAATAAATAATAAACTTGGACAAATGACGCTCCCAAAATGCTCTGTACCTTTCCCACAGTGGAATCCTAATAAAACTGTCACCCTTGCTGCATGTTTACATATAAAGATTTTGTTCTGGTGCTGAGCACTGTAAGTAAATGGGCACGGTATATAGTCTTGTGATTTTTAACTTGGTTTACGGTGACCAGAAAGCAACTATTTATCACAGCAGCTTTAAGGATCCAAAAAAGCCCTTACTGCAATTAAAATATTTATAATGTTCTCCAATTTGATTACTGAAATATGGACTATATGAGCAGACACAATTGCTCATTTGACCCCAATACAACTATTTGCAGAAGCAAGTATAAGACATCAAGTATACAAGTTTACTGGCCTAACTGTCCAGATTCTTTCCAAATCTGGACAATTAGAATTTGTGTACAATTCTGTATGATCCAATATTCAAGCATAAGAATGAATAGAACAGATGGTCTGAAACCTTGTAATCACTTGTAAATTACATTGATTAGGATTTATTAAGATTTGCTTTAACAGCTGAACTATATGAAATAAAAGGCCCAAATCCTGCCATCCTTACTCAGATAGAACTCCCTTTGACTTTATTGGGAATTCTGTCTGAGGAAAGATGAGTGGGATCTTAATATAGCAAAATGGTTTCACATGAAATTGATCATATACGGAGTCTGATCCAGAGATGAACCAACACTGCTCAGTTCAAGGTCAATTCAGTGACACTTCTAAACTGTTAAATCGAAGTACTGCAAATTCTAAAAACATTACTATAAACATTTTATTTTCATATTAAAATACATTTGTGGGGAGGCTGGAACATCCAGTTTTCAGTACAGATAAAAATTCATAATCTCTATAATGCTCCATAATAATCAGCTAATTATTCATTTAAAGTTACAGAGGTGGGATGTACTTGTGGCTGAAGCACAAGTGTGGGAATCAGGAAGTCTGGCTTGTATTCGCACCACTGTCACCGATTTCATGTGTAAATCAACCTTTGTGCCTCAATTTTTCCACCTGTAAAATGGAAGTATTTTCCTCTCTCAGTGGGTGTTGAGATTTGGCTCATTCATGTTTGTAAAGCATTATGGGATCCTTAGATGGCAGTTACAACAAAAATGGAAATTATAATAGAATAAAATCTCTAGAATGAAATCTGCTTTGTTGCTAATACTGTTTTAAAAATCATTACTATGAGCATGTTAAATGCGGTATCAGGAACTTTGACTGCAGTCTACCCAGAAGTCCTTCTGAATTCCATTATGTTAGGTTTGGTTGTGCTAGGTAGGTTGCAGGACTGTAGTTCACTTTAAAACTCCAGTATGTAAGTACCGTCTATTAATTTTTCCAGATAAAATTTAAGCATCTGATCTCTTGGACTAGATCAAAACCAGGAGAAATATGCTAACCAATTCTGAGATGGGATCATAATATATCTTCCTTCATCCCCCACCTTTAGAAAGCTAAAACAAGGCTTGCATTTTTCCAGATTAGTCATTACTGTACACAACTAAGGAGCAGCCTTTCTGTATTCTGTTTCTAATGTCATCAGCTGGGACACAATCCTGCAAGTGCTCCATGGGTGTGGAACTCCCACTGAAGTCAACAGGAATTTGACCTGAGTAGTTTCTGCAAGATCAGGTCCTTGGTCAGCATAGAGGTTTTACGCAGTCGTTTTGGGGGCTCTTGTTTATGGGGATATATACTTCTCTGTAGTAAAAGCTATGGAAAGGCCTCACATTCATAACGTACTATAAAAATTGAACTATGTGAGTGAGTATTTATAACAAACAGTGAGAATTTTTTTTTAAATCACCTACCCCTGGAATGGCTAGAATCCGAAGACAAACATCTCTGCAATTGCTGTGTTGGGGAAGATAGGAGCATTTAACTGGCTACATCTAGAGTAGACTATGTAATAAAAGGACATGTCACATACAGAAAAACTTTTCTCAAGCCCCCCTCCCTTGTTATTTTTCAAAGGGCCGTTAGATGCTTAACCATCTAATATTCTAAATGAATGTTTTGCCAAATGCAGAGCAGATTTCTGTCGAGTAAGTTTACTACTGCTCAGAACAGCCTTAACTCCCTCCACTTTTTCTCAGACCACACCTGCTCTTTAAGAGCTTGTCTACACTACCCGCTGGCTCAGCAGGCAGCGATTGATCCAACGGGAGCTGATTTATCATGTCTGACACGATAAATCAACTGCTGAGCGCTCTCCCATAGACTCTGGTACTCCACCAAAATGAGGAGTGCAAGGAGAGTTGACAGGAGAGCGTCAGCTGTCGACTCACTGCAGTGAAGACACCGCGGTAAGTAGATCTAAGTACGTTGACTTCAGCTATGCTATTCACGTAACTGAAGTTGTGTATCTTAGATCGACCCCGTGTGGTAGTGTAGACAAGCCCTGAGTTTGTAAATGGATGTGGGCACAGTACCAAACAGGACGCTGTAGAGGCAAATTCTCTAATAAGTTAATAGTTTTCAGCACATCAGCCATAGCTCGCTTACTTTCCCATTTTCTTTTTTTCTTTACTTTTGAAGATGAAGATGCTTTTTCAAAAGGCTGTTTGTTATGCTGGTTGATGCAACAAAATGCAAACACAGTTAATTTCCTGTGGCTTTCTCTGCTCACTTCATTTCAGGATCAGATATTCACTAACTGCAGTGCCTAGAAGGGGCCTGAATACCACTTTACTGACTCC